TTTTGGTCTTCTGCTGAGTTGTCTGCCTTCCCTAAAAAATTCCATCAGCCAACCGCTTCCCTCCAACCGCCAAGTTCACCCTGCCACAGATCTATTTGACAAAAAGTACTGCATTTTAAAGGGATTTTTATCCAATTAGCTTCAGATTGTACAAAAATATTAATCTTTAAAAAAAATATTCTATGGGATGCTTGCAAGGGACACAAATGCCAATTGTATACAAATTATGGTTATATTTTCTTTTGTACACAAGCAGAGTGCTGTTCATCACTTCTTAACAATAAACTAACCTATGAGGGAGTGTAAGAAAATTGGATTATTTCCTTTCCACCATATTAAATGATACAGCTTTTGCTTGTTTTGTTTTTTGCAAGGTACTAATAATTTCTGGGTAAAGAAGGAGCCTGTTTTTAATTAATTAATTAGTTAAAATAGACAAAAACAGGAATTATTCAACCCTAATAATTTAGAGTATCTACTTTCTGCTTACTTACAGCATCCATGTTTTTAGATCTCCTGAAAAATATTATTTGACAGGAAGAGATGCCAAATGGCTGGTTTTAACAATTAGTTTGCTTCTATGTGAAAAAAGTCTTCTGGGCAGACTTAGGGGGAAAAAACTTCTAAAATTCTTGCTATTTATTGCTTTCAGTACAAATTTCTGTGCAACTGCAGATATGCCTTTAAATTTACATGATGACATAAATGACAATAGGGAATAAATGTCAGCCTTTGAGATAGGTCGAGTCAAGAAATCGACACCACAGGGATTGCAGGAATGCTACTTTATCAGTGTTGGTAAAATAACAGAATCTTGAAAGCCTACCCAAGTTTCTCTATGTCCATCTTATACTAAACAAAATCAAGTCAGAGTTATTTTGAGTTTCTGTCTCACACTTGTTTCAGTCTCTGGACCATGTAATGATTTCTTCAAGTCCCTCCTTAAAGGCTCATTCCTTCTTTCCCCCTTGAATGGCCCTTTCATACCTTCTCCACGGTCACTTCTAAATTCCTGTACACCAACAGGGCATTGCTATATCATTGGTACCTTTGCCAGTTATGACCATCCTTAGAAAAGATGGACCTTAATTTACTTACCTCTGCATTGCTTGAGTGGGGTGGGGTATTTCAATACTCACTACATTGTCTGCCTTCAAAAACTTTGAAAGTTTGAAATACAGCTACTAGAGTGTCATAATTTTAATGTATTAGAGTGGTTGCTAATAGCTCAATTATTTATTTATTTATTTATACCCAACATTTCCATTAGAAGTTTGTACTCAAGGCAATAACAAATAATAATAAATAAATATAAAAACAAAAAAATGCAAGTGAATTGCTAGAAAATTAAAAACATAATTAAAATATTATTTAAGCCTCAAAAAACAGATTTCACCTGACCAGTTAAAGCCTAGCCAGTAACTAGTTCTGTTTAGCTACCAGAGGCATCCCAAATAAAATATTTTTGCCTGCTTATGGACATACAACCGGTGGTATGCTGGTGAATGTTTAAGAACAGGTTCTACTGACTCTATCGCCGTCTCTACACTACTAGCAATGGAACAGCTGATCAGCGTGGTGGCTTAGCTCTGCTCTCAACCGGCTCACAAAACTCCAGAAAATTTAATAATCAGCACCCGCGGACCAGTACAAGCCAGCTCCAGCACACTACTGTATATAACCGAGTGACCTAGTCAGATATCTACTGGAATGGAGGTTCAAAGTGTAGAAGGCCCTCTCTTATATTCTTGCAGCTTGATAGTGAGACTAGGAACCAAGAATCCTTGGTTTTTGGAGCCTGACAGGGTTTAAGGGAAATGCTGTTTCCGATCATCAGCTCTCAAACTGTATTGAGTCCTATAGATCATAACTAGCACTTTGAATTCTGTGCAGAAATAAACAATTGATAGCTGCTGGAGCAAGAGCCAAAATTTCCTATATTCTAGCACAATCAACCATCTGACCACAGCAACCTGAACCTGCTGTAGTTTGCAAACAGTTTTCATAGTAAATCCACATGCAGTGTTACATTAATCCACATTATCACTATGTTACTGAACGCATTTCTCTGTGTTCAGATCTCCAGGAAGGATAACATGTAGTGCATTGGCTTTAGTTACATTAACGTTCCTGGGCATATCAAACCTGGCTATCCCTGTTCAGGGTTAATTAGAATACACCCAAAGGCTACACAGATTGATTCCTGTTCTCCATTCTGCCTTTCTAGGATTAGGAGGACATCTACCTTGCATCACTTAATTCTCCATTTGTTAGCCTTATTCATTTAATTGCTGAAAACAGATGCCCATTTAGAACGCGAGCAGCTTCTTTGAATGTATTAGGAAAATAAAAGTTCAATTAGCCATCATCAGCATGCTGACTACCCTGAGACCCAATTTTCAGACAATCTCTTCTCCTGGTTTTATGTATGTGTGAAATAAATAGAAAAACACAGGTATCGTTGTGAAATACCACAGGCAGTCAAAGCCATGGGACTGAACATGAGTCCCCCCCCCCCCG